TGTTTCCCTGTGCTGTCGAATCTAAATTTCTGTGGTTTTGTAATCCTAGTGATATCCCACAGGGTTAAAGAGGCCATATATCACTCCGGTGCTAATTGTTTTTCCTATTCGAGTCCTGAAAAAACCATGTAGTATGAATAGTGTGCTTAATAAAACTTCTGACAACGTTATAGAGAATATAATGTACTTGTGCAGGTGCCTGCCCCTCTCGGGACTCCTGAGAACCAGCTTGGTCGTACTGAAAACCTTTAAGTTCAGTTTGATAGACATGGTACTGCGACCAAGCTTCTTTGATGGATATGGTTTGCTGGTGCTGTTACCTCGTCGTGGGTTGTTTTCATTGTGATGGAGCTAAAAACGCAAGACATCTGCTTTGCATATCTCTACATAGATTACTACGCACTGGTGTCGTGTACTCCAGTACTGAAAACCTTCAGTTCAGGAGCCAAGCAGCAGCTGTCACTCATTGCACCTACAGATGCTACTTCTCCTGTCAAAGGTCCAGTCCAGGGTGTACACATGTTCCAGCCGTCTTTGCCGGTGAAACTCACCGGCAAGCAGATCAAGCAAGAGGACATAAACTAATTCTGCATTGAACACTGACACACACAAGACTTACATTCAGCAATGACAAAAGGAGAGAAAACACTCCACCAATGCTTGCTGCAAACTGGGTGTGTGCAACCATGATTATTCTTTCAAAAACTCCGCACAGTTTCGACTGATAATAAGTTGACATTGCGGCGGCTCATGACTAATCTTCATCAGCTACGATTTAGGCTCTGCCACACAATTCGGGATTTCAGCGACACATCTCTTTCTTACAAATTTCATAACTGAAGGACTAAAGCCAAACATCAAGAGAAGAGTCATACATCCCTGCAGCTAACCACTTCCATCGAGCTGGCCATGGCATACAAGTTGTGACATGTGTTGCTGAAAACACACAGTACAAACTGATAGTAGGACTTCCAAACTACATGGGGAGAAAAATCCCAACATAACGAGCAAATATTTGCAAGTGTATAGTAGGAAACTTGCAAGATGAAAAGTAGACTCTAAACTGGTCAGCAACCAAACTACCGACATTATATCTTCAAAATTTTGCCTGTACTCTGAAGTTTTAATCATAAAGACTGGACTGACCAGAATTATAATGTTAACTCGATACTGACACGACAGACAGATTTTCTAGAGAAGTAGCACTGCTACGATCATTTTCTACACACAAAATACATATAATCCCACTACAGATATACAACTCAAATATCAGCTACAGGGTTTGATAAAAGTAGCCACCAATTATCTTAAAAAATAAAGTAGCCACCAATTATCTAGAAAAAAGTTGCCACCAATTACAAAAGGTCTACCTTCAGAAGGAAAGTAACTTGGATACAACAACACTACACTAGCACCCTCTCTTTCCTGAGATCGATGGCTTGGACGCTTCTCATTTTTTACCGTCAGTTTCACACAAATGCCAGCAGCTGCAGCATCGCCTGAGTTTGCAGTTCAGCTCTCAGACACTTTGCTACTCCAAGTATATATACTTCAGCACATCCTTATGCTCGCTCACATCTTTCCTGTGTTTTTCCAAGAGCAGCATTATGTCCTATTATCATCCTCCAGCGTCACTGTAGCAAAGTTATCATATCAAAATACTACCAAACGTACCAACATCGAAAAACAAGGAGGCCATGACAACCCGTCCATTTACTTTTTTTGCAGAGAGCCAAATTACAGAGCTAAAATAAACAGTCTGTTGGCTGGTGGTACATCAGCAACGGAGAGAAACAATATCTGCTACTTCATGTTTATATACAATAAATATGGCTTGGCTGCAAAAGCTTTCCTGAAATGGCACTATTAGTATGTTACTATGTCTTTGTTGAGCGCTAAAATCACATTGAATAACATAATTTTAAATTAGACACGGTGCTAGCATCAGTATTAAAAATAACAGTTAACTACAGTTGTAGCTAACAGAACTGTAGGTGCAACTAACAGAGCTTTTTATTTTTCTTGCCATATTGACCGAGCAGAAATGAAAGTTCAGAGTGATGTATCACAAGTAAGCAATGTAGTGTGTTTTACAAAATTAAAACAGACACGGATGTGATGGCAACCTAGAGTTTATCAGGGTTTAGGCTAAGGTGTATTTCCAAATCAATGACATTATAAATTTGTTGACCATCACAGGTATGCGACGTAGTGTATTTTACAGAACAGAAATGTGGATCCGTACCTGCATATATTCCTATGACACGGAAAAAGTATAATGCATATATAGGCTTAAACTGGAAACAATAACATCGTCAAATTCATCATGTGATTATACATTACCAAGTACAGTACAATCCTAAAGCAGTGGAATTTGGAACGATGAAAATTTGATTTGTTTGGTCTTATACCCTGATGGACTGTCAGTGCAATTTTGACAGATACAAGCAAGTGCTTTGGATACAGACAAGCATTTATACATTCAAAGGCAGTTAATTTGGAACTTGGTTCGTTTGGTCACACAAATGGCTAACAGTATAATAAAATCTTCTGATCTAGTGAAGCGTCAACTTGCTGCACTGTCGCACCATCGCAGTCCAACTTGATGAAATCATCTGGGAGATTTCGGGCATGGGAAACCCTGCTGCAGGCACTACATTGATGCTCCTTTGGCCCCAAACTTTTGAATACTTGATGGCAGGCAAACCTCATTCGGGCCTTTCCCATTTCCTTCTGCATTCAACTTGTTTCTTGTGATTCCACCAGGCCCGGAGCAGGACCCAGATCTTCAGTTGTGGCTCATGATCAAAGCTTCCATGCTTCTTCAACTAATTCATTCCATAATACTGCACTTGAAAAGAGAAAACAGCCATCTTCCAGGTTGAGGTAGCTCCGAGATCGACGGACCATCTTATGTCTGAGGAAGATATGGCAGCCACCCTCATCGAAGCAAAGCACAAGCAAACCGCACATTAAGTGTCCAGATACACACCTGGCCTCTTAAAATTTGTCCTCAAAGCAGGCTGCCAATAAAAGATGCTCACCTGGTTGGGGACCTTCATTTGCCATATCTTGGCGAGCCAGCCATCCAGTCATTAATCTGCTCACTCAAGCAGAAGGCGTCTTCCAACAGGTTGCACATCGCATTGTCGTGTGATCAGATTAGTAAGCTCCTCTATTTTCCACAACAAAGATTCTACCACAAAACGAGCTGGATCTTCTGGTGGATCCCCTGATCAGCTATGGATCCCTCCAGAATTCCAGATGTTCAGGGAGGACCCGTCTTACTACACGCCATATAAGGTCAGCAATTGTTGATGTGCAGAGCTCTCCAAGGTTTTTCTCAATTCACATATCAGAAATGTGAGCCAGAATGAATATTAAGTGTGCAACAATCAAAAATAAAATTCAGCTACAATATCCACAATTAAAACTCTATTCTTGTTGAAGTGTATGTGTGGATTACCTAGGTTTAGTTTGGACTTTCGGTTGTGTTGGCTACTGCATGAAGCTTAACATGGTATCAGGGCCTAAGATCTTGAGTTCGGTCTTTTGGTTGTGTTGACTAGTGCATGAAGCTTAACAGTTCTTACAACAGAAATTCAAAAGCTGATGAAGAACATTAACAATCAGCTGAGTACTCCTAAACTGAGCGATAAGGGAAATCAGCATTGCACAGAAACAATTTCCGGGGCATGATGGTTGCTGCAGCCGGCAAGCATATAAGCACCAATAAAGCTAAACTGCTGATGAGAAGATACTGGCCAAGTAATGTTTGCAAAACCGATGAAGGAATCTCACACACACGTCTACCATTTGTCAGGCAAAGGTTTTGTCCCAAGAAAACCGAACACTACTGGTGAGACATTTCGGCCAGATCAATCAACCATCTTATAAAGAAAATGTAAAGGAAGATACCTGAAGAACAATTGCTTCAACAGCCCAGCATAGCTTATATAAGCATCACATGTAATTTTGTGAAAATATACAACATCAGATATGCAAGGACTGAAGAGTAAGAGATGTTATGAAGACTAATTCATGCCACCTTCATGGCTCAGTTCTCACAATTAATGATCAGTGTAAAAGATTTCGACTTATTTCAGTCAGTTGATCATGATTTAGTCTGTTGGGTTTCTCCAACAGATCGAGCACATCAAAATTCACACGAACACATGTGCACAAACCTAGCCACCTCAAGTCAGCAAATCCCGAGCGTGCCAAAAGGCACGTCTCGTGCCTTCTTTATATCTTTTTCTCGTTTTTTGGTGCTACAAGCAGTGAGCTGCATCTGCTTATATAGGTGCAGCTATACAGGTTACAGCTTCCGCACAAACATGACTAAAAACTGATACAAACTCTATAACCATGGCATGCAAGAAAACTCCTAGCTTCCTGAGTGAACTCAAGCAAACCTACACGGACGCAACAAGTAATTGCTTAGTATCAGCGTCCATGACAAATCCTCTAGGACTAATACACTAAAATCGTTTAGATTAATCTAACATAGTCCCATACATTTTCCGAGTTGAAAATTTTCCCTGTGATATAAAGGTCAGCTACAAGATTTAGTAACAAAGATAATCAACCTTACGAGAATAAGGGCAAAGAAATCAAAAGGGAAATGAATAAACATATAGCAATATATATAATTTTCTAAGCATAACCAGAATACTAAACAATGAAGTGCAAGCTTTGTGTTAATTCACATATCATGGGACAAAAAAGATGATGAAACAAAACCGGCGCATGCTAGATAAAATTTGACATGAAAAAAGATTGTACAAATCATACTTTTTTTCTCTGCTGAATGATGGCACCAACATGTCATGGCTCAGAAAGCAAAGTATCAGTTTCATTGGGCATTGGACCAGACCAAACCAGCAAATAAAGGACATAGTATAGCAGACAGCCACCATTCAGTCAGTCAAAGAAGGCCGGATTAAGAATTACCAGCTTAATACGGAGAGTAATCCGTGTTACAGTAAGCATTTTCAAGGTTAAATACTACGCTCTTGGTTCATAAATCTGAAACAAGTCTGCATTTCACCTCTGCAGGCGGCAGCATAGTCTTCAGCAAGGTGAGGTGCAGCTTCTTTGTGAGGGCGTATGTACCTGTCCACGAATAACTTCTCGACATAATGAAAAATTGTACTGCATTTCGGGACGCGCTTGAGCAATCCATTTTCTTTGAGAAACTTTATAACATAGTACCGCGGCCTGAGCCGTCCGTCTAGACTGTAACTGAGCATTACTGTCTGCTGAGCAATATAGGCCGGTTCCAGCCCCACCTCGGAGATGAAGAACTCAGACGTACGCTGCAGCTTGTCCTTTGAATTCCTCAGGAGATTAGGGAATTTAGACACAGCAATGCCCACCTCGGCATGTGACCAACCGAACGTGTTCCTCAAGTACTCCACTTTAGCGGCAACCTTCTCCTTGCTTTGGAATGCAACAGCATGCAGTGCTCCTCTGAAAATCCGAGAGCCACGGGGCACACCTATACCTTCCGCGCATGCCACCATCACCCGGATGCGCTCTGGGTTGGCGGTGAGCATACTGGGCACACCGGTTAACAGCTTGGCAATATCGCAAGCACCTAGCCCGCACTCCTGTAGGAGCATGACAGTGGGCTTCACTCGCCTCTCGAGGTCAGAACCGAGAAAGCAAAAGCGGCCCTTGAGAGCGTGGAGGAGATTCTCGAAGGAGCCGAAGAGGGACAGGTAGTAGTGCACCCTGGAGACGACAAATCTACGACGGAAATGGCCGCCGCCGGCGGTGAGCGAGACGAGGCGGACGACCTCGGAACGGGAGAGACCGAGGCCGGTGAGCTCCTCGAAAATGGGCGTCAGGGTTCGCCCCACGCTGGCACAGAGGAACTTGGGGTCCTTGGCGATGAGGGCGGAGACATCGGCGCCGGAGAAGCCGAGGCCGGCGAGGAAGGCGAGCACGGCGTCGGGATTGGTGGGGGACTTGATGTGGGAGATCTTCGCGGATGCCTTGAGGGCCAGGGGTCGGGTGAGGCCGCAGGTGTCCACGAGGTACTCCTCCACGGCGAAGCTAGGACATGGGGAGATGCGGGAGCCGGTGGCGGTGGCGAAGAGGAGGCAGCGGTGGAGAGAGGAGATGGAAGAGGCGGTGTAAGAAGAGAGGAGGATGCCGGAAAGGGTGGATCTTGGGAGGCGGAACATGGTGCAGCGCCGGCGCCGACGGCGGCAAAGGGGAGAAATTTCCAGTAGGTTTTGGAACTGTCTGTCGTAAGCTGACGAAGGGGATCCAGCTCTGGCTCCAGATTGGCAATTTTGTCACAAAATTTCTATATTTTCCTTAATTTGCAGCAATAAAAAGTCAAGTTCGAGAAAACGCCAAAAAATAATTTTGACATATTGTTACATCCGGTAGAAATTTTAACCCGTGAATTTTGGTTAACATCCATAGTCGATAAGCCATTCGTTTTATCAGAAACCCATCTTTGGACTTTTGCACACGGCATAAATGGTCTTTCTGTGTAACGGATTTGACACAGAGATATTTATTATTCATTCTTATTTTCTCTTCTTTTTTTTAACTTGAGAATATAATTTTTATGAAGTTCCAAAAATCAAATCATATGTAGCGCTTTCTTCTCTCTCCTCTCTCTCTCTTTCTCTCTCTCATTTCCCCTGTACGTATCCCTGCCTCTTCTAAGCCATCTATTTTCTTATGTCTATTATCGTCCTTTTCGCCTCACATATTTCTTTGATATGTGGCAGGGACGATTCTACATGCAAGTTGTGGGGTTAGTTGATACCATAACTTTTAAAAAAATAGCCTAAGAATTGTAATAATTATTGTAGACTATGAAAAAAACTATAAATTAGCAATGAACCCACAGATTGTTCCGGCTGGCTTCGCCACTTATCCGTGGGCATTGACGCCTAGTGTTCTTCCTCTTCCTCACTTATCTGACTAGTCGAGAAAGACATTGTCTTTCTATATTTCTATATTGATTGAAGATGCGAGTAGATAAGTGTATGGACATCTTATTACACACTTTATAATTCCAGTAGGTAATTGATTTTCCACTAGCACTTGTGAGTTGAGAGAGGTCAAGTTTCTTATATTCTCCTTCCAAATAAGATAACTAGGTATAAATTCGATTCGTTGTGCGCCTGTGACACTACTAACAGAAAGCAATGTTTTTACTGTTTTGTAATGGTTTCCTTCGGGTTTTTTTGGCCTCTTTGATTTTTCTTTGGTTTTCATTTGTTTCCGCTTTTCTCGATATGGTCCCATTCGATTTTCAATGTTTTATTTTGTTTTATTTCTCTTTTTTTCCTTTCCCTTTTCTGTTTCACTGCTGTTATTTTGCAACACACGTCTATTGTTTCTCCCGCAAATGTGCATTTTTCGTATACATCAGGAGCATGTTTTCAGACATGTTTAATTTACTTTTTTAAATACATGTTTTGATGTCTGTTTTTTTCATACACATTGTATATTTTTCATAAATTTGAAACATTAATTGCGTACACGTTTAATATATTTTTTAAATACAAGATTATAATTTATTGAAATAGATGTTTTCATGTCTATTCGTTTACATCACACTGTACAATTTTTATACACCAGAAATATAATTTTTACACATGTTTAGCATTTTACAAATACATGATTACAATTCCTTGAAATAGATGTTTCCGAGTCTATTCTTTTACATCACATTGTACAATTTTTATACACCAGAAATATAATTTCTATACAAGTTTAGCATTTAACAAATACTCCCTCCGTCCCATAATATAAGAACGTTTTTAACATTAGTCCCATAATATAAGAACATTTTTGACATTATTATAGTGTCAAAAATGTTCATATATTATGGGACAGAGGGAGAAGATGATTATCATTTTTTTCTTTCAAATACATGTTTTGATATCTAATCTTGTTCATACACATTTGTACGTGGTTTGTATACATCTGAACCATGATTTTTATATGCATTTAACATTTTTCAAATACACGATTAACATTATTATTCGACTTGTCCCTCAAATGGATGTATCTAGCACCAAGTGCTAGATACATCCATTTGAGGGAGTTTTTTTCGGACAGAGGGAGTACTATTTTGATGCCTACATGTTTGTACATTTTTTTGTATACATCGAACCCTTATTTTTACACACGTTTAACATTTTTAAAGTACAAGATTTTTCTCCAAATATGTGTTTTGATGTCCATTCTTTTTCATACACATTGTACAATTTTGGTGTACATCTGAAACATTATTTTTAGATACATTTAACATTTTTCAAAAACACGTTTAACAATTTTTTGAACACTCATAAGATTCGAAACCATGCATTGTTGCATTTTCTTAATGGCAATAAAATTTCTGTTTAAACTACGCCAAATCTATATTTTACATTTTTTATATGTAACGAATATATATTTTTTGAAATGCAAGAATATTTCTTTAAATTGTCCGTACATTTATTAAATGAAAATAATCATTTTTAACAACAAGAACATATTTTTTTATTTGTATAAACATTTTTTAAATGTGATGGCGTTTTTTTTGAAACATGAGAATATTTCTTTAAAATATTACATACATTTTTTCTAATGGCACAAAACATTCTTTTATCATGCAAACATTTATTTTTACATTGCATACATTTAAATTTATTATTATTATTATTATTATTATTATATTTTATTATCACATGGGGACATTATTTCTAAAAGCTGTGAGCTTTTTTAATATATTAATAATAAAAATAATATAAAGGCTGAAAGGAAAAAAAATAGCATGACATCAGTGTCGCCAAACCAGGTGCCTACTGGGCTGGCCCATCGCCGAGGGCGCAACACTAACTTATGCCTCGCTTCCATTCGAGAGCAACTAATTAAGAAGCATTTCTTCGGGAGCCTCCCTAACGATCACACGAGGTAGGCTGAGAGCGCACCACTACATGTGACGCTCCGAGTGCTTCCTCCGGGGTTTTTTCGCACGCGTTTTCTGCTTTTTAGATGGGTGTTTTTCGGGTTTTTTGACTTTTCGGTTTTTCACCGGTCTTTCTCAACTTTTCGACAAAAATCGGAAAAAATTGTGCGAAAAAAACGTGCTTTCTCTTTTTTTTTTCGTGAGAGGCGTGGTTTTGCTTTTGAAAAGGAAAAAAAGTTCTCCTGGTTCGGTTTTTCATCCCTTTTTTGTAAAAAAAAATCGTCAAAACCTATTAATATGGGATCTAGTTTTGATCTCGATGTGAGGAATCCAATGGTGAAAACGATTCAAGATTTGGACGCACATTTAAGAGATAAAAACTATTTTGAATAGACGGGTCTACAAAAAAGGGAAAACTCACCGGTTGCGACAAGTGAGCACATGCAACACGCCACTTGTCACAACTTGGGAAGGTAGGAGTGATCTTTGGAAGGAGTACTCCTCAATTAGGGCATGTAAAATGATGCTATCTTAGGAGTGTCATGTACAATGGGGCGGGCGATCGACGGCGGTGAGGACGGGGAAGGGGACGGGACGACACCCTACACATGTGCAAACTAAGAAATTAATTTGAGATCAAATTGTGCATCTAAATCAAATAAACTCACACATATATACACTCATTCACTAAAACCCACAAGCCACACTACTTCTAGAGCATTTGAAATGAGCTAAACTAGTAATGAGAGATGAAAGGATGAAGTTGTGAACCTTTTTTAGAACACTTGGATAGTTGGTGCACCGCCAAATCTAGACAAATCTTGAGGAAAATGGAGCATGGAGGTCGAGCTTGGAGGAAGAACAGAGGAGAAAGCTTAAGTGTGGCTCCGGCATTTCATCTAACACCTCATGTGCATATACAGGCAAAAAACAGAGTAGCCCACACCTCCACCCTTCCACAGTCAAAAAACAGAGGAGATGGGGGGGGGGGGTAGGCAAACTATTGTACCGGTCTATGTCTAAAACTGGGACTAATGGCCTACCCTTTAGTCCCGTTTCCATACACCAACCGGGACTAAAGGGCGACAACCCCTTTAGTCCCGGTTGGTGGCTGGAACCGGGACTAAAGGTCCCAGTCAAACCGGCACTAATGCATGTCGAGGCCCATCCGGAGTCGTAGCCTCACGAATTGGGACTGATGCTCCCATTAGTCCTAGTTCGTAACATGAATGGTGAAAGAATCAACATGGTTGACTAGAGGGGGGGGGGTGAATAGGCAACTAACAATTTTTAGCTTTTCTTGACCAAATTAAACTTAGCATCAAAAGAGGTTGTATAGATGTGCAACTAGGTGAGCAACCTATATGATGCAGCAGCAACAAGCACACACGCAAAGCAAGGGATACAACACAAGTAAAGCTTGCACAAAGTAAAGGTAAGAAGTAACCACAAGTGGAGCCGGTGAAGACGAGGATGTGTTTTCAAAGTTCCTTCCCTTTGAGAGGAAGTACGTCTCTGTTGGAGCGGTGTGGAGGCACAATGCTCCCCAAGAAGCCACTAGGGCCACCGTATTCTCCTCGCGCCCGCACACAATGCGAGTTGCCGTGATTACACTAGTGGTGCCCTTGAAGGCGGCGACCGAACCTTTATAAACAAGGTTGGGGCAATCTCCACAACTTAATTGGAGGCTCCCAACACCACCACGGAGCTTCACCATAATGGAATGTGGCTCCAAGGTAACCTCAACCGTCTAGGGTGTTCAAACACCCAAAGAGTAACAAGATCCACAAGGGATTAGTGGGGGGAATCGAATATCTCTTGGTGGAAGTGTAGATCGAGGCCTTCTCAACCAATCCCTAGTAAATTAACAAGTTTGATTGGCTAGGGAGAGAGATCGGGCAAGAATGAGCTTTTTAATGGTAATGGAGCTTGGGAGGGAGAGGTCAACCTTAGGAAGAAGAAGACCCCCTTTTTATACAGAGAGGCAAAAATCCAACCGTTTTCTGCCTTGTGCTCGCGGCCAAGCGGTACGACCGCTCCTTGGAGCGGTACTACCGGTTAGGCGGACTACCCCGCAAAGGCCTAAAATACACTGGTTGTATCCACGGTAGTGCCGCCGGAGCGGGACTATAGCTGCCCCTAAGCGGTACTACCACTTAGGGATTTTAGACCCGGAGAGGCAGCAGTAGTAGAGGGTGCTAGGGCGGTAGTATTGTGCCAAGCGGTACTACCGTCTTAGTGCCGCTCTACTACCGCTTAGCGCAA